CACGGCCTAGTTCTGCCCCTTTGTTTGTTTCCCTCAGCGTCCCATAGAGCCTGGGGACCCCTGGAGTAAAAACACTCGACAGTAGCAACAAGCTCGCAGGACGGTCATGCACATTCCTCCGTCTGGGAACGTCCTAATAAACTGTCCAAGGATCCAAGTAGTTGTGAATGTGAGGGGGAGGAAGCAGCTATGGTAGTAATAACATGGAGCTACAGTGTGAGAGCACAGATATTGCAAAGAGAAAAGAGAATATTGACATTATTAATCTAGAAATAACACAATTATTATGATTCTGTTCATTTTTAGAGGGAATTTCCTATTGCACATGTCCACGTATTTAGACAACAAAGAGAAAAGTGTGATCCAGTAGTCAAGAAGGTGGTCAGCTAAGTGGCTATAATCAATATTTCTATAGTACAATGTATGAAATAACAATGTGAAAGGGGTCGATGGTAGTGATGAATCACCTGAGGCTGCAGCTCCCCTCATTGTTTAGCTGCCCGGCCGCAAGTTTACTGTTTTGGTTCACTCTCACCTCTCTCATAGCCTCGTTTTTATTCACAGCAGGCAGCTGTTTTATAGAGAAAAAGCTTGATACAATCTATTCAGCACAAAACATCAGACAGGGTTAGCAACCAGCTGGTGAACTTATGTCACAGACCATGAAGAAGCTGATGGATTGATGTCTCCTGAATCCACATCAAATTGTATTTCATCTGCTTCAATAAAGTTGAGCGAGTTCACACTCTCTCTTTTTTGGCCAGGCTTCTGTATCCAACTCAATACTGAACCATGAAATGAAAACTAGAAGGTGACTCACTCTGTAAAAGCTCACCCCCAATAATACACTCTTTCTTACATTCTCTTATGAATATCTTTTATCCTTGACCCCTGGAAGTATTCATTTGTCCATGCTGTGGTGATGTTTGGTCAAGAGACAACACTTGGGGATAAAGATGTCCTGATCTGTGGTTTCCTCTCACACCACACTGAGGCTGAGTGGAAGAGGGCCTGTGGTCTTTTCCCCTCCAGTTTTGGAAGACCTGAACTATTTTGAATGGTTGCTGTCCTGACATTGAGGGAGATTAGTGGTACTATGAGTGGCTGTGAGTCATTATAACCATTATCCTTAACCTGATTGGACAGCTGACAGAACGAAGAAGGTCAGCTGTGTTTTCATTGGATGTGCACTGGGATTCAAAGTGTTCATAGCATGTCTACATCAAGAGTTCATATGCATCACAATCTACTGAATGCTCATTATAAATTGACAATAATCTAAATTATCTGTTGTTAATCCAATTTTAATTAAGCAACTTTTTTCTATAGTAGTTTGACATTTTGGAAAATAGTTTGCGCTTATTTTCTTTCTTGCTGAGGGTTAGATAAGAAGATAAATACCACTGTCATAGTTGTATCCTAAATGTTAAACTGGACCCAAGAGATAGCTAGTTTAGCTTACCATAAGTGGTGGGGAAACAACTAGCTTGGCCTAAAGTCCCCCTACTCTCAAAAAATATGATTTTCTTCTAGTTCCTACAGTTGGTTGTTTGAGGTTCACTGTGCAGAATGATGTATATCCAGTTTGACAATAGGAGGATGGTTTCACATTCATCTGCTAAAAGTGCAAAGTTTCTTTGTGCTCATTGAAAATCTGAGCAAGATGAATTTTTTCGCAGTGAAGTGGGAGACAAATTGTGTCCAGCAGGAACATTTTAGAAATGAAGACAATTTGCATATTCATAGATTACTGATTTTAATTTTGTTGTGAGTAGTACTTTAAAAAAAAAAAACAACAAAAACCACACTATATCTTATCTTAAATACACAAACAGAAAGGAAAACCGTTTGTGGTTTTAGGGGAAGTTGTGTGCTAGAATCCTTTCTTTGGGTGTAATGACTGGCTAGCTGTTTTCACCTGTTTTCAGTCTTTATGCTAAAATAATCTAATTGACTTCTGGCTCTAGCTTCATATTTATTGTACAAACATTACAGTGGTATCCGTCTTCTCCGCTCTCAGCAAGAAGGCAAATAAGCAGATTTCACAAAATGTCAAATTACCATAGTTTTCTCCTTCACCCCCCTGTGTCTCTCCAGGGTCGCCCCCCCGCAGTCTTGGAAGCAGGGAGCCTTCCTCCTGACCTTTCCACTGTTTCACTGTGCTTTTACAGCCTACCCACATTGTTTGCGTGCACTCCATGCACTTGCCACCCACTGTGGAAAAAAACACGCTCAAGTGGAAATAAAAGTACCGTGTCAGGGCTCTGAATAGAACACAGGTTGAAGCAGTGGCATTTGCATAATCAGTTGATGGACTGCAAGTTAAAACGTGCTGCTCTACAGTCTGTTTAGCATCAGCGGGGTCTGGTTGCTTCTTGTGGTTGTTGGTTGTAAAATAAAAGACTCTGCTGACACAGGCGTCAACACCAGCCGCAAACACTTAGCCTGCTTCAATTAGCAGAGCTGTGCATTACCAGACAAAACCACTGTCTCCTGGACGGTGAAAATCAATGGCTGACACTGACACCAGCATTAAAACACAGCAGTCCATCATCTCAACAGAGCTGCACCCTGTCTGCACAGCTTTAGTTGGGTTGAGGGAAGACTTGTTTGTCATAAGTAAAGTGGCAATGAGCAAAATTCCCAAAAAAATATTTTTTTTATTTTACATTTAAAATGTTATGTATATGTTTGTCAGTATAATTGGTGCTAAGACATTATGCCTGTAGTGTTTCTGCACAGCACCTTATAGATCACCTTCCAATCAATCAGTGTGAATGGATGTTTCCTATTTCACTCAACAGCAGTGTTCAGAACAGCAAATATAAAAGCTTTCATCCAGTTTGTCAGTTTCTTTTTACATTCATTATTTAAACATTCTGAAATGTTACTTTCATGGCAATCCACCAACTTAACAATTATATGCTGCTTTTAGTTATTATGTTTTTATCAATAGAGGCTGTTGACATTTGTATGTTTAGTCCTTAATAATAAATACTTGAATCACAGAAACAAAGAAATCAAGGCTTACTGGACTTATTAATTAAATTAATTTATTGGCTTTTGAGTGCCTAATATAATAATAGCTGAGCAGTCTTAACACCTTTATGAAACTAAAACTATGGAGTCTAAACATGATTGCTTGAGGAAAGAGCCTCAAGTGACTGGATCTGGAGTCACATCACACTCTGGACTGACTGATGAATTGTGGAGGAGGAGGGATGGAGTTAGGTGCACTTAAATAACAGATGACAGCAACAACATTATTTGTAGCCAGAGGTTGGTCAGATTGGGGAAAGTGGACACAGGACAGTGGACACACTTATATTCAATTGAAAGTGGGCGAAAGACGCTTAAATTTAAGGGAACCATGAAAAGTATTCTTTCTGATTGAGCTTCATTTTTTAGACTAAGCCACCACACTTTACATTCCTCACTAATCCACATTTTAGCCTTGACAGCTGAGGGTCCTGGCTTTCACCCACCCAGAGGGCATCATCACACCCATCCTCTTACCACAAACACCACCTTCTCACCCACACACCCCGCCAACATCACCTCAATCTGTTAAACCGGCCAGCTTATGTTCAGATCTGCAAAAAACAACAACAACAACAACACAACTCCATCACAATCCCACCATCCTCCCCTCCTTTATAATCCCCTCATCCTCCTTTCACACAACCCAGTGAGAATATGGTAGCAGCAGACAGACAAAGGAGCTGTTAGATTACACGAGGCTGATACTATCTGCCCCCATTAGAGCAGATAAACAGTAAAACTGCTTAGTTGTATCTGGAAAGGTCAGGGACATGGTCAACACTGAATTTGTACATGAGCACACACTGAATACACAGATGGGAGGATGTTAGCTTACTGAAGAAGCTCTTTACAATCAAATACCACATTGGGGCTAAAGCCTTTTCATTTCTGACCTTATGAAGGTTTGAGCATGTCAGGAGGTGTTATGCCCCATTGTGTGAATGCAAAAGATTGATAACTTACAAATAGATATATCATAATTATGATGTGTTTTTTCCTGTAGGTCCAGTGTGTAACATCTAGAAGGATCTATTGTCAGAAATTGAACATAATATTCATAGGTATGTTTTCATTAGTCTATAATCACCTGTGAATAGGAATTATTGTATTTTTGTGACCTTAGAATGACCCGTTTATCTCTACAGATGTCGTGGGTCACATTTCATGGAGTCTAACCACCATGTTTCTACAGTAGCCCAGAGCAGACAGACAAAACACACACGAGGACCACACTGTGCTGTGTATCAAAGTTCAACATCAAACTGACATTATCTGACATCTATGGACAAAAATATATAAAAAACATTTAAATAATTTGATAGTAAACGCTAGGACCGTCTACTTTTTAAGGAAGAATTTGTGATTAGTAACTATAAACCTGAACAGTGGCCTTACTCTTACATGTGTTAAATATTCAGTTATCTCCTGGCTAAAGTTATACTGTATATACTCCTATAATGTATTAGTGTGTATATATATATATATATATATATATATATATATATATATATATATATACTATACTCAACACACAACCGTATACCTTTTTTAAGCTACCACCCAAAGAAGGACATTGATTCTTCCTCAATTCTCATCGAACCGCATATTATACTACCTTTGAAGTTTTTGGGAAATGGCCAGTGAGTGCTTTGAATGCTAATGGATCTGCATTGATAAAACCTTTGTAAGAGTGGAGGAAGGGGCTGGTCCAAGTATTGATTAGAAATCTACATAAAGGTCACTGAAAGCACTCAGAGTAGTTTACATTAAGAGGTCAGGAGAGAAAAACAGCAGCTGATGGAAGTGGAAGTGGGGAGGGTATGGTTTTAAATGTCTTATTTGCTTGTTTTTCCTCAAGGGAAATATTTGATACAGTGTTAGAGTCTGCCCCAAGGATCAAGATGTCAAACTGCATGTCCCACTACCCTATTTAATAAGGGAATAAAAACACATGAAAAAACATTTAAAATATCTTTAATCATTGGATAAGCTCATATAATTTACATACTGCATAATATAGTTCTCTACATTAATGAACATAATCAGTTATTTTTGAACATTTCCACTTTACAAAGAAAAAAATACAAATTTTCTCTGGACACATTGCATAACAAAATAATAAAAATGCATCGTACCATGGAAATAAAAACAATTCCACTCACTCAAGCAAGATATTGATTCGACTGATCCAGTGAACTGCAGTTGGTCTTTGTGGCTTTTATCTTTCAATCCTCTAAGCTTTGTGTTGCCCAAGTTAAGTTTTGGACCCGTTTCAGAGCCCAGTGTGCCCTCAGCAGGGTTTATTTCAATTCACTTTCATTTCTTTAAGCAGTTGTGTGGGGATGTGAACAAAACACACACACACACACACACACACACACACACACACACACGGATAAAGTATAAATAAGAGTCAAGGAAAGGAAATGCTTAATGGTTCTCTCTGAGGAGCTGTCAGGTACCTAGAGACCCACGTCAGTCCTGGGATACATTGTGCTTGTGTGTATGTGTGTATTTGTGTATGTAAAAGAAGAAGGAAGAAAACAGCAGGACACTGGGAGTGGAAGCTTCCCCTTAGCTGCATGCTGTGTGTTACACTTCTCAGCTCGTGGTTTATCCCTCTATTCTGCCTCTAGGGAGACACAACCAGTCTTCTTTTAGCTTCTCAAAAATGTCCAAAAACTTACAGGCAAGACCTCCTGACAGCATTTCAGGTAGCTCATAGAGAGAGAGTGCCTGAGCTGTGTACTAATGCAGAACAGAGCAGTGGGGAATGAGAAAAGAAGGACACAAAATCGATACCTTGGGTAGCTTATGATGATTTCTGCCTCTCAACATTTTAATGTTGTTAATCACTCCCTTTAATTTGATATTTTATTACACTAGAAAGGAACAGAAGAATCCAAATTCCCAATGTAAAAAGACAGAAAAGCTTAAAAGCAGTATTGCAAGTCATTGAACTTGGCATCTGGAGTACAGATTTCTACAGCACCTGGACAAGAAAGGTATACATTTGTTTTACACGTCTTATTTAACTGTGGACTTATGTATTTATTTATGTGTCTGAGTTATTTATTTAACCAGGAAAGCATCACTGAAATTAAATAGATTTTGGAAGAAATCTTTTCAAAGTTTCCTCAGTCATCCTTAATGATTTATGTATAACTTATAAGTAGTGGCCTTATAATGATTAATAAATAATTTACCAGTGCTTGAATTGGTTGGTGGTTATCCATTGTATTTGGTGATGGTCTAAAAAACCCATCAAGTCTACAGTTGTAAATGTTAATAAGTCATTAATAAAAAGGGTTTAAGTGCCCCGGTAGCTCACTGACTAAGCTGTACCATCAAATAAAGCTGAAAAATAATATTAAAACAATAAAATAGTCTGCAGTTAAAAATGTTAATAAGTTGTCTGCTGCACCTTTTCTTTATTATTCGTGATCTATAAACCATCATTACATTTGAAATTTAATCAACCTTATTAGGAAGAAAATGTAAACAGGATTCATCACAAATGACCTATAAAGGTATTAAACATCATTGTAATGATTGGTATTCTGACTCATTACAAGTCATCTTATCATCTCCTTCATCTCACCTGCCATCATTCAAACAGTACTGCTATATTGCAACTGGCACTGCAGTAAACATTGTTTTATGTAGCCACTAGAGCTGAAGCCTCATTGTCATGGCAACCGTGTGGATATCCACTCATCTATGTAATCATGCTGTTTGTCTTGTGCCCAGAATAGCTGGAGGGTGCCTGGCACCTGAAGACAAGGCAAACACATCACGCATTGGGCATCTGATAAATCCTGGACATCATAAAAGGATAGAACAGAAGGATTTTAGGGAGCAAGTCTGCCAGGTTGTTTTTGAATCCATACCCTCTGAAAATTCTGGAAAGTGAGGAGAAGCTTTCAGCTTTGACTGAAAGGTATTTTCCACAAGCTTGCCAGTTAGTCACACTTCCATTCTTATCCATGCACACAGCAGTTATTATCCCTCTTTCAAAAACAATGAGGCCACAAGCCATTTCTCCTGGCACCTACATCCATTAAATCTCTGCCAGTGAGCGGTTTAAAACAATGTTCATATTCCAAATTTAAACTGGATGTTCCCAGTGAAAACACATTACAACATCTTGGGCTACAGTATAGCTTCAGAGAGACACACTATAGCTTGATGTAATGTGTTTTACAGGTTTGTTCCCTGCACTAAAATGTATTTTTTTCCCCCATATGGCTCGGTAATTTGGAAAGAAAACCACAAACTAGTAGAGCAGGCTGTCTCTTTGGCATGCTGTATTGCTTTACAGCCAACACATATGTTAAAAAGGGAAGGAGGTTTTAAATGACTTCATGTCTATACTGTGGCTGGATAATATACCATGGTTGAAATACTTATCCAGTGATGGATGGATGCTCTTTTTTTGTATTAAAAGAGATTTAGAGGGAAAGAAAAACAGGGGGACAGATTTTTTATGTTCCAACTCGTCCAAGAGTTCAAGGTCCAGTCTGAGCACAGTTTTCCTTTCCTGTCTCCAGGACTGGCCTACAGTCGCTGTTTCTGTGGTGCTGGCTTTATGGTGCTGTCTCAGGCGAGAGGGCATTGTGTGTGCATGATGTGTGTGTTGGCACAGACTGAATATTTCCATCGAACCAGTGTGGTGGTGGAAAGTAGGATGAAAAGAAAGGCAGGAGTAGGAGAGAGGAAACACTTCAGTGGCTCAAACAAATGGAGATGCTGAGTTTAACATCTCAGTGCTGCCTATAAAGGATTTATTTACAGGGAGACCTAGCAGAAAGTGAACTGATTGACTGGACTGGCTGACCTCAAGTTAATGGCATAACAACTAGTTGCATTATATATTAAAACAAGCAGTTAACAGTAACTCTTTACATAGAGTGAAAGAGCCACGGTCCATTGATTGACAGTTTGCTGAAACTATCTCCTGAACGACAAGTCTGTCAAGCTAAGGATTTCTCCATGTGTTTAAGCGGTGTAAACAGGGCTGTAGTGAGAGTAATATGTGTAGAGGTGGATTAAACAGTGTGTTTAAACCATTCCAAACTCAATCACTTTATGGGATTTGGAGAAGTTTACACTCCAGCAACTCTAGCTAATGTGACCTGATAGCAGATTATGTTTGCCAAACCATCGATTAATCCTCAAAGCCTTTTCTCTCATGATGCTGAAAGCCCATTTTACAATATTCTTCTTTTAAACATGTTTTTAACCAACTCATGAAGGTAAGGTTAGCTCGATTATCGCTAGCTACAGTACGGCTTACACTGTCATTTTAGATGGCAAAGTCAGCGGTTGCTGGCTTGAAATGAGAAGGTTCTGTCTACCTCTTCATGAAAACAAGGACCCATTGTTTAAAAAAAGTTGTAAATCGGCTATGTTACCGTTATTAACTGCATATGTGCCATGCGAAAACAACAACAGGTGTAGCAACAAGGAGGTTGGGGCTTAGCACACTGTCAGTTGGGTGGTTTCTAATACACTTGGAAAAAATTATCTTTGTTATGGCCAAGGCAAACACATACGGTCCTTCTTTGATATTGGTTGATATTGGTTCACTAAACTCCAAGTGAAGTAAAGAGGTGAATTTGCGAGCGTGTGACTGTGCCCTTACAGTGCATAAAACGTATGAAAAACTAGGCCCCGCACTTTTAGGAGGCTAAGAGAAACAGCTGGGTATTGAACCTTATACTTTTTTAATGCTGGCTGAAATGTGAGCATAACAAATACTGAAAATGTCAATAGTATTGGTAGCGCTATCAAAACTCAAATGCACTAGTTTTGAAAAGTTTCAAACATACCCATTTTTAAAAGGACGTTTTTAGAATTTGAGCCCTGCAGTGATTTGACAGGGGTACAGAAGGGCACAGTGTTACTTAACATTGAGTCAAATGTCGGTTTTTTCAGAAGGTCATATAAGGGAGGACAGAGGGTAAGCCAAACATTTTATGAGGAGCTTTCTTTTTGTCACAAAGTATACTGTAGGATGAATACTTTTGTACTGATTATGTAAAATGTGTTGCACTATCCCTGCAGCATCAACATGACTAACTGCAGACTGGTAGGAGGTGGAGTACCGCTGTGATGAATGAGCTGAAAACTCTTGAAAACCTTTGGGACTCATCTATTCTTATCCAAACCTTGACAGGCCAGCTGTGCTCAGGCAGCCAGTCGGCATCTGTCTCTCTCTCTCTCTCTCTCTCTCTCTCTCTCTCTCTCTCACACACACACACACACACACACACACACACACACACACACACACACACACACACACACACACACACAAACATACACACACACACTCATCCTCTCCCTGTCAGTAGTCTTGGAAACTCCTGAAGAACAGACAATAATATTAGATTTCATTTGCTGAAAGAGGCTGCTTATGTAAGCCAGTAGAAAGGCTTCAAGAGATATTGCTTTTCTTCTCTGATTGTGTTTGGTCTTCCACGCATTTCTCACAATTTAACCAATAAAGCTTGCAGCACAGGGCATGCACAATGATCCACCCAGCCAACATAACACATTTACCAGTCAACACTCACATGGCGAGAGCACACAGATTGTTGGTCTAGCCATTTGTACACGCAAGCAGAGGCCAGGCAGAGAGACAACAATAATACAAATAAAATCAGTCAAAAAACTCAGATTATCATAACAACAGTGCAGTCGTATCAGGAGGGAAAGTACAGGCATATGTAGTTAAGGTTTACACCAATCAGGCACAACATCTGCTTATAAAAACTAACACATGTTACCACATTGGTTAAAAAAAGGGAGAAAATTTGAGCCATATTCAGTATTTGCCTACAACCAGTCACGACTAGTACCTGATGCACAGAGTAGCTGTATTGCGATTCAGTGAATATACAATATTGCAAATGGTTGGGTATTAGTTCCACAAAGACACAAATGCTAAAAGTGGGTACATTATTTCTCAACGAGGGAAACTTTGACTAACCTCAGTGTTCTGTCTTCTATTTTCGTATCCTCTACTTTTTGTTCAGGTAAGCTACGAGTTTGGGGAGAAACACACTTACAGATTTTATCAAAAGGTGTTTAATACTTATGTTTAATACTGTCTCTAACCATTAAGCATTCAGTTGTCTAAGTCAACAGGGGTTATACAATAAATTTAATATGTGGGTTGATAGGGGAAAACTTTGGTCTTTCTACTAAATGCAGTACAATAGGCTCTATCAGTGCTGTTACTAGCGGAGTTAAAGGTGGGGATGATTGTAGAGTGCCTAGCATAGGACAAATGAAGTAATTAAGAAGATCCCAGAGCAGATATTCTTTAAGGGGTCTTAATTGTGACCTTGGGTTTTAATTATGGATTTAGTGTAAGTTAAAATCCTCTAATTTACATTGGTTGATGAACGATGTCAAGCAATCTGAAATCGTGTTTCAGCTCTCCGACAGATCGTCTCACTGTGCTTTAGAAAAGAAAACAAAAGAAAAGAGAAAAAAATCAGGGAATGCCAAGAAAGACCCTGAGAAAAACTATGACACAGGATTTTAAAAATGATTTTCCTAAGTTTGTTTGAGGCAGCCCAGTTTGGCTAAATGTGGTCAAAATCCTGTAATGTGCATCCACCTTAATACTGACATCAATGTTTTATAGAAAGTTAGTGCAGTCACAGGGGGGAACAACAGGACAAAAACAGTTACTGTTTGTCTTTCAAACCCAGTGTCGTTCAACAAGGAAAGCTTCACTATGTGCATTTCACTACAGCAGTTCGCTCTTCTTCTGTCCTTCAGTGATCTGGTCTTTGATGTTACAGAGGGAGTGTTCAATAGTGGCTTTAGTCCCCTATGTTATTATCCTTCTTACAAAAACGTCACATCTTCTTGCGACTGCACCCACCGCCAGTGCGCGTCGTACTCCAGATGCATTTTGCCACTCATTTTGCAAGTATCCAAGTCGATCTTTCCATTTTTGTAGGGTTTAAGTTTGGGGCTCTGGCTGGTTCCCAGTTTCTCGTTGAGGCTGGGGCGAGTCGGGCTGCCTGTTTGCATGGTTGGTTTCTCCAGGACGCCATTAACCTTAACAGCTTGTGTCTGGGTGTTGCCCTTAGAAACAGGGCTTCCTTTACCCATCTCTGCAGCTGAGGTCCAGACATCTTGCTTGGGGCAATCAGACTTGGCTTGAGAAGAGCTGACAGCTGGTTTCCCAGTTCCAGTCCCAGCACTCCCAGTCCCAGTGACAGCACTGGTGACCCCAGTCCCATGTCCACCTTTCACCTCCATCCCATTTCCAACCCCAGTTCCATTTTCATTTGCCCCAGACCGAATACCACTTCCAGCCCCATTACCAGACCTCACCCCTACCCCAGCTCCTGTCCCAGCTGCCGTGACCGTAGCCCCGGTGCCTCCCCCTGTCCGGCCCCCAGCTGTAGCCTCTGAGACCAGCGGTGTGATGGAGCAGATGACTGACTCCGAGCTGGAGGGGCAGTACTCGTCCATGTCATCTGCCAGGGTGTCCAGGTAGCTGCCGATTGAGATGTTGTCTAGCTTGTCATTGGGGTCCTGCAGGCTGCTCCAGGAGCCTCTCCAAGAGGTGTCGGGTCCCTCACCCAGGCTGTACTGGCTGCTGGTTAGGCTGCTGCAGTGGCTTGTCAGGGTGCTGCGCTCTTCCAGCAACCACTTTACTGCCTCGATGCCTTCATGGACAGCCAGCAACTGCTGCAAGATCTTCACATCCACTGAGCGCAAGTGAGCCTGTGGACAAATAAAAAAGGAGAAAAGGATTAAATTACAAATAGAGAATAAAGTTGCATGTTGAGGTTTTTGATTGTTGTCACTGTATTCAGGTTTTTATACTTTGTCTGGTTCTCATGTATAACATTGTGTTCCTATTGCAAACTGCAAACTGTGAACCTGGGGAACCACGAGGACTCTGCAGATATTTATTTTAAGCATTCAGGTTTGGCTCCACAGACAAGTGCAAACACCATTATAATGCTATTAAACCTTTGTAGATTACCATAATTGGAAGTAAAGTATAACAGAAGCTGGCGGGTGGAGTATACACTGCAACCAATGTGGAAACAAATAAGGTAATGGTAGAGGGGAAAAGCTTAGAGATGGAAATAAAAGAAAACTGAAAGAGGGACAAACTGGGCAAGATGGGAAAAGAAGGTATAGACACTGTAACTGTAAGTGTAAGTTAAGCTGTTTTAAAGTGTTAACAGAGAAATATGATCAAATGATGAATCAATTATCTAACTCTGCAGGAGAAGCTGTTGAGAGATTAAAATTTAATGCAGTGGAAAGTATGACACATTTTGAGAATAAACTCAAGAAATAAAAAGCCCTGTAAATGGTGCAAACTACACAAACATTTATTTAGTCATGATGTCATCTGGTATAATAAATGAAGTAATGATTAATCAGAAATAACAGTCACTGTTGTCTTCTAATGTGATGTGTGGTGTGTATGTGGGAGGTTGAAAAAGCTAAATGATGAATAAGAGGAAAAAGACGGCTGTGGTCATGGAAAATTCCTCACCAGAATACATTAACAGAGGTCTGCGGTGAAGCGCAGGGCCAAGAGGTGATATATGGCATCGACATTCAAAGCTTGGCCTGATGATATCCACCCCTGCAGATAACCAGTCTCTCTCAAAGCTTTAAGCATTTAGTCTTTCAGTATCTTAGTTGCCTCTGTGTAATCCTTTTTCTTTATTATTTCTCTGTCTCTTACTTTGCCTCCACAGACAGTCAGTGTCTTTATAAACAGTTTATATTACTATATTTGTTTCACATAATTATGGCGACTTTCATACAGACTAACAATATACATATATTTTTGTACATTTTATATAATTTGTTATTTAGTCACATATAATTAAAACAATAAAGTATGCTTCACCCTTGATGAAGTAATACTATACTGTAGAAATGTTGCGAGTACAAGTACATGTCATGAGTAAGCATCAATGGACATGCCTCCAGTGGCGATGCGTCACTGTAGATTTAGTCTGTATGGTTTTTCTGTCATGATCCTTGATCTGAAAAAACAAAACAAAAAACCCTGTCCCTGTCAGAATTTTTGATTCTTAAATGAAAACAATAATAAAAAATAATACATCTCATACATCATCTCCATGCGTGGGTGGTGGCTGACCTTCGTTAAAACCAGTCATTCCATTTATTCCTCTCCATTTTACTGTCTTCCCCTCATCTATCTCATTATCAGGCCCACTGTGGTTTAAATGTCATACTGTAGATTGATGATTTACATTATTGGTTTCTAAACTACGGGTTGGAAGCCCCCAAAGCATCCCAAGATAAAACTGAGAAGTCACATTATGAAAATCTGTAACAATTATGTTTTTTAGTTGTTTTTTTGTACTTTTTCTCTGTGTTTTTTTGTTTTGTTTGTTTTTCATGTGAAATACTGGATAATTTAACATCGTTTGGCCTCTAGAAAGTCTTCAAATATTACAATCAGAGAAAAACGGCTCACAACTAATGTCCACATTCAGGTCGTAACCTTTCATGAGGGGTCACAAGTGTCATTTAAGGAGTCAAAAGCTACAAAGGTCCATTCAGTTAACAGTCTCATATTGAATATGGATGGCATGATTTACAGCCCACTATTTTATCCATCAATTGTCATCACAGCTGATTGCAACATGGCCCTGCATCATTAACTCATATACTGTCACTTAATCTGATTGCCTTCAAGCATTTAAATTGGTTGTTTATGTGACTTGTGAGGATTGACATTAATTCCCACAAGGCCCAAACCAAAACCATAACCACTGCATACCTAACTGCAGCCCTTACCCAAACCTTAACCAAAGCATGACTTTAACCGAAAGCCAAGTTAATCCGAAAATATGTGGGTGGTTAAGCTTGTGGGGACCAGCTTTTTGTCCTCAGATGGGAGAAGAGTCCCCACAAGGCTGAAAACCCACTTTTTCAGACTTCAACTCAACACCCCAAGATAGCACTTACTTCCATCTAATTTCTTTAAAAAATAATTAAACGCCTTTTCACTGTAGCTCTCTGAACTTTGTTTTGAGTTTGAATCCACTTATTAAAAGGACATAAGTCTCTGCTAAATGAATGTAATGTAACTATGTGACTGTAAAAATATGTTTGTTCCAAACTCCATAAATACAAGTACACACATCATCTAAGATGAGAAGTTTGTTTAAAGAGACTAAAAGTATAAGCTGTGTGATCTGTTGCTGTCACGCTGTGCTGTAGACGGATGCACTTAATGCAGAACCAAAGTTCACAAGTTCAAGTTCTGCATGGAAACTTTTAGCTGTATGCAGTTAGCAACACGTGCTGAGGTTAGCAGTCGATTGACATGTGAGTCAGTCACACTACGGCAAGCGCAAATGAAATGCCGGAGATGGAAGACCCGCCTGACTCCTTTAAACTAGTTTCAATTCAGATTCCCAGGTCAGCTACAACAGAAACTGAGCTGTGAATAAGACAAGGTGTGATGGTGTTGCTACACTGTTGTAGGATACGTAAATAAAAACTCATCGAACAGGCTAACGCACATTTGGGTTATTTGGGTTTTTCCCCTGCTGTACCGAACTTGCACCAAACCGTGACTCCTAAACCAGGACCATGAACCATGACTTCTATGTACACCCCTACACTGCACGCTACATTTTGAAGCAGTAAACATATGGATATCTATGTACTCATTAAATCCCAGCAATCCACCTCTACTGTACATTAAAACACACATAAAAGCACACACCATGTGGTTGCAGGGCGGAGTTGCCAGACAAAGAAGAAGAACTGAACAGATCAACAACCACAGCGTTCTGTGTGTGTGTGTGTGTGTGTGTGTGTGTGTGTGTGTGTGTGTGTGTGTGTGTGTGGCTGTAAACCCACTGACGTCCTAGGGCACAGTCAGACATTTGGGGTGGGGTTCAGGTTTGAGGTTTGAGGTTTTCAGCTGGCAGAGACTGAGTGCCTAATGAGGGTGGCAGTAAAAGTAGCTCCATGCCTGTCAGCGCTGAGGTGGCACAATACTAACGAAGCTGTGTGCTCCACCAGTCTGTGCTCACTGCCTGTCTGACAATATAGATCCACTAAATTCATGGTTGCTCTCACACTACATTCACAATTCATTCTATTCAGCAAAAAACAGCTGTGATGACTGTGTAGCGTAACCCAAACCAAAACTATTTGTTTCCACAATAACTTGCAGACTCCTACTTTATATCTGTAAACATTTGTGTAAAAGGAAATCATAATTTATGTGGCTGAGCAACAGAAAATGAATCTGCAAGTATTTTGATAACTGATGAATTGTTTAAGAAGGAAAAATGCCAAAGAATCCCTGGTTCCAAGATCTCAATTGTGAACATTTGCTGCTTTTTTTTGGTCTCAATAGTATATTTTCAGCTTTTGGAACATTACCTCTAAAAGAAAATAACAGTTTCAGTGAATAAATGTAAAATAAAAACTTAAAATAAAATAACAACAGGAAAAAACAAGCATGAAAGTAATAAATTCACATTAGCTCATTTCATAATCTAAAATGACTATTGTTGGTTATATTACCAGCAAGAAAATACTTTTATTTTTAAATTCAGTGGGTTATTAATGCATAAAGACTGTAAAATACAAAAACTGTATCACACTGTGTTTATAAACATATACAAATCTGTCCTTTATGCAAGTTGGGTTTCATAGTTTTATGCCATTTAATTAAAAATGGCTACAAGCCCATCCTTGTGCCAACATCCAGATTGCATGCCAACTGTGTCATACATACATTGTGTGCTATGCTTCTGTTCCTGGAGGAAGTTCTTTCATCTCCGTCATTATTCCCAGATTGATTACAGCCTCTAATTATACGATGAAGTCAAACATACTCATTATAGGGAGGACCCAGTCAGATGAAAAGGGTCAAACTGGGGTCTAAAGGTTGCTGTGTGACAACAGTCATAATGAGAACAGGGAGTGGATGTCCAGGACCATGCAGCCTGAGGACGGAAACACTATTAATCATCTTGTGCCATCAGTACACAGCCAAACATTTCGGTTTTCCTATTCCGGCATGAGGCCAAGCACCTCCTGGCTGATCCACAGGATTCTGGAAAGCTCATTTTCCGGCCTTCTGGTATGTGTGTGCAGTGCAAACTATATTCAGCTAAATAGCTAAATATATATTTTTCATTTAGAATAAACCTGCTGACTGAGGGAGATTTCACTTTGTTCAGTATTTCTCTTAAATCAAATCAGATGACATTTTAGAAGAAGAGTAATCTGCCTCTGAACAGTTTTCATAACACCTGTTTATACAGAATTCAGTGAAATGATGCAGATATCATATTACCATTGTTTTTCATTAATTTTGAAATACATATGATTATACAAGTAAAGTAAGTACATTTAAGTAAAAAAAAAAAATCTATTAATAAAATCAATGATTTATGTAACATTTGCTGCAACATCTTGCAACTTGAGGATTTGGTCTACTGTCATTTTTGTATCACCTTAAAATGAGTATTTTTAAGGGTTTTGATCCTTGGTAAGTCAAAATAAGCAACTTTAAGACATCACATAGACTCTATTATTTAAGCTAATCGTAGCCAATTGTGCTCGTTTTCGCGGCGCGTTGGTCAGGTGGACAATGGAGGCAACCACCAACTTGTCAGCTGAATTTGGTGAACCAGGATCCTATTTCTGGAGCCAGGCTAGTAGCTTTTATGGACATAGCTAATTGCAGAAGAAAA